ATATAATAAAAGACTTATTATCCTTTACGACTTGCCTGAAATCGATAATTGAAACGTCGAGGTGAACAGCTCCCAAACAGATAACACTTGCCATATATGGAATGTAAACGATTGTTCCGTACATCGAAAACTGTTGGTGTTGTCGGTGTTTGCCGAAGTGGTCTCAATCACAAGTTGCGTTATAGGATAGTCGTAAAAGCGTTCCAAGGGACATAACTCTATGGGGTTCGCTTGAAATAAAGTTCAGTAAGTAGAGGGCGCGAGAGTTGATTTAATGCAATGTTGTATTAATTCATTCAAACTTTTTAATTTCACATTGTAATCCTTTTTTCCGAATAAATAATATTGTATTTTCGCTAGGGGCTGATACTTAGTATTAATGAGAGAAATGCAATACTGATTTTTAGAGAAGTGTGGCATGAGAGTGTGCCTTTAAAGGCAGAGGTGTATAAAAATGTATACTCAGTTAATCTTAATCTTAACCCAAGGGAGTAGAAACCTGTTGAACACCCAAAGAAAACTATCAATATCCAACCTTAATGATTATTTGTGAGTTAATACTCAACGGTTCATGACCTTTTCTATCGCCCTCTGTGAAAGCTAAAGCACAGGTTGTGGTTAACAAGGAAGAGTACTATGGATATACAACTTCTATATGACAATATTTGCGACATTTCAGTGTAGATGCTAACGCCATTATCAAGCAGGTGAAACACAAATCATCGCATATTGTAATAAAAAAAAAGTTGTACACATATATAGAACTATCCCCCTAGTTCATCATACCAAATTCCACATTTGAGGTTACAGGTTGTGGTTGATTGGAAAATCACTGTGATCTCGATATTGAGGTCATGGCACAGAAAGTCATGTTCCATCAGCAGAGAAAGTGATTTAATAAAGTTAAATCAGTAATATAGATAATGGCTAGGATCTATACTACTCAATTGAATTTAAAGATTCTGTCATGTTAATGTAGTTGATCTGCAATGCTGGCAAAAGGGTTAAGGAACACTTCATACTTTTATATCGTTATTGTTAATCTGTCATGCCATATGGAGGCGGTGAGGTAGCCTAGTGGTTACAGTGTTGGCTCGTGACGCTGATGACCCGGGTTCAATTCCCCACATGGGTACAATGTATGCAGTTCTGGTGAGCCTCCCTCCCTCTCTCTCTCTCTCTCTCTCTCTCTCTCTCTCTCTCTCTCTCTCTCTCTCTCTCTCTCTCTCTCTCTCTCTCTCTCTCTCTTACTTTGTTTCTCTCTCTCTCTCTCTCTCTCTCTGGATTGAGCAAAATCCCCACCCCTTTCTTTATATTTTTTTAATGGATTGGGCAAAATCCCAGGCCTTACAGATGTGAAATTGATGCCAAAGTGGTATATTTGAAAAAAGAACCTTGGTTGAGAATGTTGTCCATTAACATGCAGTTAGTCTCTGACTATATATAATTTTGACAAAGGAGCCCAAGTGAAAAGGGAGATTGAGAACCTGAGGAAATCTAGACTTGCTTCATTTAGGGCTGAAACATGGCAGAGAGGGCTAAGCAGAAGGGAAAATAACCTCAGGCACTATGAGACCGACTAACACGCAGTGTATCAATCTTATCTTTCCTCTATGTTTGCTAAAACCCCAGATCACTCACTCACTGTGAACTGCATACCCAGAATGGATAACGCCTTATGTGTACACATGTACATGATGCATCAAAGACTGACACAGGCCGGGGGGCGTGTGTGAAGAAGGGGTGTGGTGGATCTCATGTCTGTCTGTTATACACAGTCTAAAGTCACAGCAGAGGGTATGTGGTCATGTCTCATGGTGTTCAAAGGCTTTGCTTAAATGTAGAACTATGGGGGTGATATATGGGGGTGATATTCAGACCAGATCATTATTTGTTTATTGGTAAAATAATGATAAGCTCTGAAAGTAAGGAAAAAAAGTGATACAGTTAAGATTAAGTGAATAATCTTTTTAAATCTTTGTTATTGTTAACATAAGAAGCATGCTTCAGTGAGCGATATCACAGAAAGCTAGAATGCAATGTGACATACACCTAAAATTTGTTGCAAATGTTCACAGAATGGACAATACTGGTTTTCAACACAATCCTTCGTCCTCTTAAAAATTGTTTCAAATATTCGTGGAATGGTTATTATTGGTTTTGAACATTTGCATTAAGGCCGTAATAATGTGTCACATCACCACAACTTATCCAAAAATGAACAAAAATCCCTTTCCCAGTTCCCTTCTTTGTGGAAAAAGATTCAGTTAGTGAGTTTTACGTGGCTTTTAGTAATATTCCAGCAATAGCACGTCGATGGACACCAGGAATGGGTTTCACACAATATACCCAGGTGGGGAATCGAAAACAGGTTCTCGGCATGACAAGCAAACGCTTAACCACTAGGCTACCCACACACCCCTGAGATTCATCATGAACTAAACCATTGGTAATGTCCACAGTTGTACACCATCTGTCTGGAACTGTCTCTTTAAAAAAAAAAGGGTGTAGGAAATTGGTGGTGGTATTTGGTCTTGCTCTTAAAGTTAGGCAACCTTGGTCACAGAGAATCCTTGTTGCGATCAATACGTCAGTGTTCAAACAGAATCAGATTTGAATTAACGACTGGGTATGTTTGGTGTTAAATTAAAACTGCAGAAAGATCTAGGTCATAGAAAACAAATGTAAATAGGTTGTAATGATGCACAAGCAAAATGCTTAGGTTACATAAAATCTCCCATATGGATGATCAACTCTGTTGATGGTGATATGTTTGGTGTTAAAATACAAATGCTAAAAGATCTAGGTCCTGAAAGACAAATGTGAACAGGTTGTAAATGATGCACAAGCAAAATGCTTAGGTTACATAAAATCACTTGTATCGATGATCAGTTCTGATGTTGGTGATGTTTATGTCAGACATCTTACAGTCACCTTCCATTATGAAGGATGGTGTTGATATGTAACGAGGCAAATATTGATGTAGAGAATACAGCACCAGAAGGTGACTCTGACATGGAAGCCAGGGATCTGCAGACTGGGTCAGACTGTGCCTTCTACTTACAGCTAGGTTACATGCATATTCAACCATATTGAACAAACTTTATAGATAACAACTTCTACTATTTCGTTAGTGCAACATTTTGAAACAGATTCTTGTACCGTTGTCAAGCAGGAATTTGTTGAATATTGTGCGTCCCAACTTCTAAAATGCCACTCAAACACAATTCAGCCATGTTAGATTGATTTTGGGACCAAACATGCAGCTGTCAAAATAGAGATGGTTACTGTTTGATCTGTGGTAGTCTGTCTCACAGTCCCTGAACCATATTATTTCCCCTACTGTCTAGTCTTCCCTGCAATGCTAAAGCTGTAAATGAAGCAACTCTAGAATTCCTCAGGTTCTCTCTGGAGCTCCTTTTCAATTTAAATGGGTTTGTTTGTTACTATCAAAATTATATATCTTCAGAGACTAAGCGTTAGTCTAGATTCGTGGTAGAATTTTCTTTAATGCCTAAAACAACTAAATGAACAACACAGGATTATGTTGACACTTTGAACAAAGGTTCAAAATAGAGGTGGTTACCCAGATTTGAAGCTTCCGATTTGTATTAGAAATTTCAGTAATACATGAGTGTTTGTACCTCAAACAATTAACACAAGATAATGCCGACATCTTGAAAATAGGTACAGAGTAGATGTGTTTACTGTGATTTGAAGGTGTAGTGGGGTAGCTGTGATGTTGCTGGAATATTGCTAAAAGTGGCATGAAACCAAACTCACATCACATCACCACTGCGATTGAAAACTTCTGAATCATAGTATAAGTTTGTATAAATGTCTGGTAATACCTCAAACAGTGAAATAAACAACCAAGACCTTGAAAAAAGGTACAAAAATGATATGGCTATAATAATGGTAATTTGAAACCTCTGATTATTTGTGGAAATTCAGTGCTGTAAATGTCTGGAACAATGAGGGGTGAGTGAGTATGGTTTTACGCCGCTTTTAGCAATATTCCAGCAATATCATGACAGGGAACACCAGAAATCAGGGCTTCACACATTGTACCCATGTGGGGAATCGAACCCCGGGTCTTCGGCGTGCCGAGTGAACGCTTTAACTGCTGGGCTACCCCACTGCCTCGGTTCAATGCAGAGCACAGGTATTGACCATCACTATGTAGGTCAGAGTAGAAAATACTGGTGCAATCTTGTGATTGGTAGACTAGTATGTATCAGGTTCCTGGTTTTGTGTCAGCAGTGTCAGCAGTCTGTGGAATTCAGGCTGGTGTGTTGGTATTTACGTATTTATTGATTTGCTATGTTCTAGCTGTTGGGAATACTGCTGTCAGTAGAACTGGGTCAGATATTGTCTCTGATTGCTATGTACAGACAGGTGGTGTGTGTAAATGTGTGTTGTGCAGGTGCTTGTCAGTTTGAAGGTGTTTCTCAGTGCAAAGGTGCTTGTTAGTGTGAAGATGTTTGTTGCTGTGAATGGACTGAGGTGCTTGAAAATGTGAAGTTACATGTCAGTATGCAGGTGTTTGTCAGTGTGAAGGTGCTGAGGTGCTTGTCAGTGTGCAGGTGCATGAAAGTGGTCACTTCTGAAGAATCTAGTATCCAGTTGTTCAGGCAATGAGTGGTTAGAGTCTTAGTTTAAAAACACCTTCTCGTAGCATGCTGTGAGCTCAAAGGTCACATTTATCCTACTTGTACATTATATAATGGACTACATAACATCTATCCTTCATTGTACATCTGGCCTGGTTTCGACTGCGCGTCAGTTGCCAGCTATTGTTTACTTACTGAACCGCCGCCCCCGTGAAGAGCTGGGTTAGAATTAGTCTTCAGTAACCAGTGCTTGTCATAAGAGGCAACTAACGGGATCGGTATCGGGTGGTCAGGTTGTCTGACTTGGTTGACACATATCATTCTATCCAAGTTCCACCAAGGAATATCGCTGAGTGCAATGTTAATCAAGAAAAAAACATTACTTACTGTGAAGTGATGGAGTGATAGACCTTGTCTGTCTCTGCATACATCTGTATATATTCTTCTTTCCTTTGTTATATCCATTCTTTCAGTGTTATACCACATCTGTTATATCTGTTCTTTCAGTGTTATACCACATCTGTTATATCCTTTCATTCAGTGGTGTCTCACGTTCTCTGCTGCTCCTTCGCTGAGTGGAATATCTAATCTCTGTCTCAGCATTGTAATATACTGTGTTATATCCGTTGTCTTGCTGTTACCTCACACCTCTGTCTGTTATAGCCATTTATTGATTGTTATGACACGTCTCTGTCATGGATGTCATCTCTTAGCATTCAATCATATTCCTGCTCTAAGATTTACGTCACATTTTTGTGTTTATACAAATAACTTCTCACATATTCCCTTCTGAGAACTGTCATCTCTGTGTTATATATCCCTTCTCTCCACATTAGATCACATCTGTCTGTTATATCTCTTTTCTCAGCGTTATGTCACATGTTTGTCTTATAAAACCATTCTGTCAGCGGTATCACATCTGTGTGTCATACATATACAATTTCTCAGCATTATAACATATATCTGTGTTATATATCCCTTCTCTCGGGCATAAGATCACATCTGTCTGTTATATCCCTTTTCTCAGCATTATATCACATCTTTGTCTTATAAGTCCTTTCTTCCAGCGTGATATCACATCTCAGTGTCATATATCCCATCTGTCAGCATTATGCCACATATTGTAACATCCCCTGATCTGCTAACCAGCTCACAGCATCCCCATCTACACAACGTCAGTCGATCAGCTGTGTCCGTCAGAGTGTATCGGGACAGAACAGTTTCCACATGATCGAGTACAGTTCCATAATTGTGCACGCTCCGCTCTGATGTTTATATCAAACGGGGAGACTGACGTTATCCTAATCCTTTTCATTATAAAGAAACTCGATAATCAATATGTTTTTCTGGTCAGTGATGTAATACACAGTGAGGATCTTGTTCATGTGCATGTTATTGATCTCGAGGGCTCCAGTCCGGTTTCTATTTTTGTTTTGTCTGTATATTGCTGTTGTTGATGTTATAGAGGGAAAGTTCCGCTAACACAATTGATTCTGGTAACTATGGTACTGGCCATTAATGTTTCTCTTTGAATTTGTACTTGAAGTCTGGGAGAGCTGACATGCCAGGTTTAGGAGAGCTCTTGCATGATCTCAATTCGTTCAGATTGATTTGGCACAGTTTAAGCTCATAAAACCAGTTAAAAACACCTGAAGACTAAAGGCTGAATTTTCCGGAGATCAAGCTGCTTTGATTAAAACAGTCATGTCCAGGGATAGGCTGTTGCAGTGCTGCTAAGTTCATTGATATAGGCAGACTTTGTCAGCTTGCTCCATTATTGTGTAACCTATGAAGATCCAGGTTAGAATTGATCTTCAGTAACCCATGCTTGTCATAAGAGGCCACTAACGGGATCGGGGTCAGGCTCGCTGACTTGGTTGACACATGTCATCGCATCCCAATTGTGTTGGTCGATGCTCATGCTGTTGATCACTGGATTGTCTGGTCCAGACCTGATTATTTACACACCGCTGCCATATAGCTGGAATATTGCTGAATGGGGCCTAAAACTAAACTCACTCACCATTATTGTGTATATGACAGACAATACTTTATTGCCTTAAAAGGATTTCGTTTTGGATCACAGAGCTTGACAAAAATACAAATAATTAACAACATAAAATATGAAATTAATAACATAAGAAGAGATAAATATTTGCTTAAAAATAATGTGTGCATTTAATAGTGATGATTCTCATTCAGAGTGTCAGAGGTGTGTAGTTCCTTTTTTAACAAAGCATTATGAGCACAATAATTGTTCGGAACAGAACAGGGTGCCATTATACAAAGTAGCATAGAGCTCTGACAGTCATAAGTCTATGTTAAGGTATGTGAGTTGCCATCACCTTAAAGTTAAGATCGCTTTGTACAATTGGCACGGAACTGTTTTTGTCTCAGGTGAAATATGGCATATATGGTACAAACACAAAACAAATACACATGGCATACTAGTGGATGAGAGGGGTTGCATGATTTAACACATTACTTGATCATATTACAGAATTTGCTTTCAGTAATTCTAAATGTATTGTAATCTGTTACTGTGTCATCTGCCAATACTGATCCCAAGCTGAGGCAGTGTTTGAAGTGTTTACGTATCAAACTGGGCCCAAATTCTCGAAAGGATCCTAGCCCTAGGATATCCTAACTTAGGACAAATACTAGGATAGGTTCTGACTTGTCCTAAGTCTATCTTCATAGAAATCAATATGGTGTGGTACTTGTTTGATCACCAATTTTGACGTCAAACAAATAACAGCACACAGTTTTGATCAGTTTTAAGAAAACTTTATTTTAATTTATGTTATGAATGTATCGGTAGTGAATAGACATACTTATTGCAATACACATATTCTTTAGATCTACAAAAGAGATTTGTTCAATTCTTACCTATTCTAACCCTTTTTATTCACAACATTGCTCTTTTCTGTCACATTGCTGTAAAATTTCAATGTCAAGGCCAACTTGATAAGGGAAGTAACTCCTGTTTATTTAAGAAGTGAATTTTCACTTTGTGAGATGACGCATAATGGGAGTTCAAATAATGATTTTCATTAAAAAAATAAAATGAAAATATTTTTTGCACAAATCTGATTGCTTTTTTGGCACACTTTCAAACTCTGAAGAAAAATGTTATCTCCTTGTTCAATAAATGAATTTTCAAAAACTTCATTAACTAATATAAAGTGATGAAAATATCGCATATATATTAACGTATAACAATATTTGTTTTCTGGAAGTATGGTAATTTGAACAAATAGATATTAAAAAAATCTCATTCAATATTTTAAATCTATTCGAGTATTTTTCATACAAGATATGAAATTTAGTTATAACTATAATAATTTATAATTTCTTCTAGATCTACTAAGTCCATCAAAAGCTGAATTTCACCGCTTTCAAGCTCTTTACTTTGACTTTTAGTCTTTCATTACCTTGTAAACGAGATTGTAGTTGCCCTTATATGTGTTTTTCATGCAATGAATCTTGGGTAATATTCAGGGGATTCCCCAACTTAATGAAGGTTTTTCTGTTTCACCTGAAGAGCTCGCTATCCTAGCTAGGATCAGTAGCTCAAGTTAGGACAGGGATAGGATCGTTTCGAGAATGGGTCTTATCCTAACGGTAGGATGTCCTAACTCCTGTCCTAACTGGTTAGGATATGTCTTAGCTGGGACACATTCGAGAATAGGCACCCTGATGGCCAAGATTCATCCCTACATGTGAGCAGTTTCTCTTGTGTAATTTGTCTTTCACCATTCTATGACTTTGCTGAAATATAGCCTGAAGTTACATTAAACAGTTCAACTCACTCACTCGTCCCAACATGAAAAATGCTTGTCGTAAGAGGTGACAAATGGGATCGAGTTGTCAGGCTTGCTGATTTGGTTGACACATGTCATTGTATCACAATTGCGTAAATTAAGGCTCATGATGTTGATCACTGGATTGTCTGATCCTGACTCGATTATTTACAGACCACTGCCATATAGCTTGAATTTTGCTGAGTGCAGCATTAAACAACCAACCAACCAACCAACCAACCAGCAAACCCACAAACCAACATGTGAAAAGCGAGACCACTCCTACACAACCAGCCCCATAATGTTGTGACACTTTAACATCAGCATAAGATATTACAGCATATCTTAAACATGGACCTGCAGATACGATCTTCACAAATTATAATGTACCATTCAGCCTTATATAACATGGCAAACAATCGAATGAGGAGCCACTTGATGGATTTAATAGATATTTTTTTGCATAATAAAATCAGAAGATTTACATGCACCCGGCCACTGTTTGTACTGTACATGTTCATTGTGTAGTGTGTGCTTGTCAAACCCTGTACCTGCTGTGTTGGCTAAAACTGCTGACTCGCATGTTTTGCCAGCTCTATAGAGTCCATGGCTCAGCAGACAGACACACAGACCACGCTGTGGGCATGACAGGGTGAATTGAAGGCTTATATGATATCCTGACATCAAGATTTATGTGCGACTAGAGAGATGGGGCTCTCATATGCCATGACAAAAAAGGCTTTGTAATCTAAAGTTAAACTTCTGTTATTTCTGAAAGGATTTGGTTTGAAATTTTCAGATGAAGCATCCTTGAAATATGGTTGTAATTATCCTGAAAATTATCTGGAGCCGCAGGTGACATGTTTAGATTTGATTATATCATCTAAGGGGCTGTAAGTTGGAGATGAGATTTCATGTAAAAAATATGTCTCTGTGATAGGCACACAGTATTAAGCTGACACATAATGTTTGTCGCTCTGTGGGGATTCTGGTGCAGAACACGTGGGATCTCAGTACCTCATGGTAATCTTTCTACAGTGACAATTCTGGGGCACAGTAGGTCATCATGCAGTTTCCCATTCTTGTGTCTTCATGGGGATGTTAGGTCAGATTTTCAGCCCCTTATAAGTACCCAATGGTTGTCTCTCTCTGGTGTGACCGCCTCCGTGGTGTAGTGGTTAGAGCGTCCGCCCGGAGAGCGGAAGGTCGTGGGTTCGATCCCCGACCGCGTCATACCAAACGACGTTAAAATATGGTACTTGTTGGTCCCTGCCTGGCGCTGGGCATTAATGGGTACAACAAGGACTGGTCGGCTCGGAGTCAGTATAATGTGTCTGAGTGGGGTATTCATGCTTCACTGCGGCATGGTATCTCAGTGAGCTAGCACTATAAAACCAGCTTCAGTCTGGGCTAGTACAAGCAGCCGCATATACACATACACACGCATGCACGTCGTCATATGAGCGAAATATTCTCAAGCACGATGTTAAACCCAATTTCACCTCACTTCACCTCACCTCTCTCTCTGGGGTTTCCAAGGCAGAATAGGCTGTCATGCAGTGTTCCATTCCTGTCTTGTAATTCATGGGCATGTTCATGGGCATGTTATACCAGATTTCATTACCCAATTCTTGTCTCCTTGCATGGATTCCAGGGCAGAAAATGTTAGTATATGACCAGATAGTGGCCCCATGAATTCGTGCAAACACCTAGTTGCTGGTACAGCAACGTGCAGTAAACGTGGACAAAGTACTGTGACTATGTGTCCCAGTCCACCCAGCTGTGAGTGGGTACCTCGTAAGGATGTGAAAGCTGCAATAACTCGGTGCACCTTGTGGCAGCAAGAGTTGTATGCTCCCCCAGGGAGTTGAGATTGATAAGAAGATGTGCTGTTGAGATTGACATCCAATGATCGAGGAAAGAAATACCAGCACCTTGAGCATGCACTAGTGCGTGGATATGTGCGCTATATAAATATCCAATAACAATAATAATAATAAAATGTCTTCTGGTATGCTAATCTTATCTGTTCAAGCATAATAAGTTGTTAGGGCAGACTTCTCTCCCTTGTACCTAATTCTTGTCTCACTGTGGGGATTCCAATGCAGAATAAGCCGTCAGTACCCAGTCTCCCTGTGGGCATTCTGAGTAGACATCATGTCCCCATGCAGTGTCATATACTTGTCTGTCATGGGGATGTTAGGCTAGACTTCAACCAATTGTAGCCAATTCTTGTATCACTGTGGAGATTCCAGGACACTCTGAATATGTCCTCAGTACCCAGACTCCCTGTGAGGATTGTGGGACAAAGTAGATCCCCATTCAGTGCCCTATGCTATTCTGTACATGAGGATGTTAGGGCAGACTGGGCTCCTTGTGCCCAATGGTTGTCTCTGGAGATTCCAGGGCAGAATAGGTCCTCATGCAGTATTCCATTCTTGTCTTGTAATGCAGGGAGCTGTTAAGCCAAACCTCACCTCCCAGTACCTAATGGTTGTCTCTCTGTAGGCATTACAGGGCAGAATAGGTCCTCATACAGTGTCCTATTCTTGTCTCTAATGGGAATGTTAGGGCACACTTCCTTTTACCTGATACTGTCTCCATGTGGAGATTACAGGGCAGAATAGGTCCCTTGGTTTCCTCCATGGGATGTTTAGTCTAACAACCCCTAGTTCGCCATAACTTTCTCCTCTTAAGAAAACAAAATTCTCTTGTTCATGTGTTATGAACATTGGCTTGCTCCTGTCATAAGGAATGCCTTCATGTGTGAATGTTGTTTATCATCTGTTCAAAGATGATTGGGATAAACTGGATGTTCTTCTAATAAATGAATTTTGTTTTCAGGTAATCTGAGTGAGCTTGTATCCCATCATGCAAGTGGCAACAAGTCCAAGACAAGTCAGCACATCCCGGAATCAGAACTCCGCAAGAAGTCGGACAAGCACCTCAACATACAGGTGAGAGTGTGGAGCTTGACAGCTGATACATCTGTATGAATACAGTTTATAGAGCCAGCTTAAATGTATCCCATGAAGATAACCTGTGAAGATCCGGGGTAAAATGGGTCTTCAACAACCCATGCTTGTCATAAGAGGCGACTAACAGGATCAGTGGTAAGGCTCGCTGACTTGGTATCCCAATTGTGCAGATCGATGCTCACACTGTTGATCACTGGATTGTCTGGTCCAGAATTGATTATTTACAGACCACTGCCTTATAGCTGGAATATTGCTGAGTGCGGTGTTAAACAACAAACCAACCAACCCATGAAGATACAGGTTGAAATCGGTCTTCAGCTGACTCAAGCTTGTTTGTTGCCATTGTGGATCTTGTTCCTTGCCCATGCAGATCAGCGTTACAATGGATCTTCAACAACTCATACTTGTAGTAATTGGTCACTAATGGGTGAGTGAGTGAGTGACTTTGGTTTAATGCCGCTTTTAGCAATATTTCGGCAATATCACGGCGGGGGACACCAGAAATGGTCACTAATGGGATCATGTTGTTGACTTAGTTGACAAAAATGTGTTGATCAATGCTCATGATGTCAGGGACTAGACTGACTGGTCCCGACTTTTATTCCATTCAGGTGAAATACTGCTGAGTGTGGCATTCAACAATAAAATGACAAACAAACAAACAAATCACCTGGATGGAGAAAGGGTTTGTGCTTCCAGCAGTCTCTCTGTGATCTGTCAGTGAGGGAGTGAATTTGGTTTGGTTATATTTTTAGAAGAAAGCCTGAGACATTTATGGCTTTGGTGAAAGCCACAAACAGAGGTAGTGGAGGATCCTGGTCATGACAAATGTAATATCTGAAACACCAATTAGCAGATCCTGGCATGACTAAGGGATACAATTCAGTACATTGAAGTGGCTTGTACCACCGGGCCAGAAGTCAAGTGTAATTCATGGCATATGTATGTTGCAGGCTTTCCAAACATATGAAGAGATTCGTAAAGTGGAAAAGGAATTGACACGGCTACGTGCTTCTCTTGCACGCAACCAAGACAGGTGAGAAGAGTTTTTTCTCAGTTATTGGTTTTAAATATTTTGATGGTTGAAAAACTAATTTATGACAAACATGCAGAGATATCTGTTCGTGATATCTAAAACACTCAGTGAGAAATAAACTTAGCTACATTTTGACATAAATTCAACTTGGATATTTCCTTTGACTGACAGTTACATGAATTTCATCAGTAATTTTAAATTTAAGCAGGATATTTACTGCAAAAAATGAAAGTTTGTGGAGAAAATTCTGTGAAGTACTAGTACTAGTTACTTTTGTGGTTATGTTTTTGACTGTGCTCCAGTGGCCATCATTTCCTGTATTATTATCCTCTCTGTTGATAAATGGTCTGTTTTTACCTTTCTGGATCAGAACTCCTGAACTGTTGAATGTTTCTTGCTGAAACTTGTGATACAGATCAGTGTAGCAGTGAACTGGAGCCATTTGATTTGAGATTTTTATTTTTTAAACATTTTTGGCTTTGATGACTTTGACATACACTTAAAATAAGGTTTGTGCTCATGTCCGGACCATAACTCCAAATCTGTATATTTCCTGGGAATATTACCTTGATGAAACTTGCTGTAGGGATTGGTATAACTGTGAACTGGTGCCTTTTGATGATTTGGGATGTTGAAAAGTGCTGAACTGCATTATTTGTTTCTCCACTGAACTGAAGCTTTCAAATGACAATGATTACCAAAAATGAGGTGTAAGTAGCCAAACTCCAGTGGCAAATTGCACCAGACGGAGATATGTCATCCAACTCATATTAATGTTAGAATGAATTGAATTAAACTTACTAGAGTGTTAAGTCCATCTTCAAGTGCTAACATGGCTTACATTCACAGCCAGATAAATATGACAAAGGATATAATAGGGTTTTTAGCTGTCAGAAAATTATCTTGAACTTCTGTTCTGTCTTTACCCAGGGACAAAAGGGTTGCAGAACAAGTTCGGCAAAAGATTTCCTCTGCAGAAACCTACCTTGCAAAACTGAGGTCATCTGAGGTCACCCTGGAAAAACACAAGCAGAGTCGGAGTGACAGCAAGAAACTCATGGTGTTTTGACGTCTGCTTCTACTTGCTCGACAAACTGCTGCAAGGCTATTAGTGACAAGAATGTGCTATCACAGATCCAGTGCTGTTGGTGACAAGAATGTGGTATCACAGATTCAGTGCTGCTGGTGACAAGAATGTTGTATCACAGATCCAGTACTGTTGGTGACAAGAATGTGGTATCACAGATCCAGTACTGTTGGTGACAAGAATGTGGTATCACAGATCCAGTACTGTTGGTGACAAGAATGTGGTATCACAGATCCAGTACTGTTGGTGACAAGAATGTGGTATCACAGATCCAGTACCGTCTGTGATAAGAATGTGTCATCACAGATCCAATACTGATTGTGGTGTCACAGATCCAATGCTGTTTGTGACAAGATTGTGGTGTCACAGATCCAGTACTGTTGTGACAAGAATGTAGTATCACAGATCCAGGACTGTCTGTCACAAGAATGTTTCATCACAGATCCAGTACTGTCCATAACAAGAATGTGTTACCCCATATCCAGTGTGGCCTGTGTCAAAGATCCAGTACTGTCCGTGACAAGAATATATGTACCCGCAGATATAGAGTACATAAAATCCCAAATATCATTGTATCCCAATTGCAAATATCAACCTGTTCCCTAAAGTAAGAGAATACCCTATGATTGGTCAACTGTACAGAGGAGTATCTGGTGTTGAATGATCAAGAGTTGTCATAGATGGTGTCAGGTTGTGGATGAAGCTATAAAAGCTATGATAACTTATGCACAGTATTTTCATGGGAAGAAAATATATGTTCAACTTGATACCATAATTTGTGATTTGTGATTATACAAAATGAGCCCATGTGGGTTCCGGGTTAGGACTTGTTCCGTGCAACCTATACTCACCTGTAAGAAGTAACGTGGATTGGATGGTCAAATTCATCCTGGTATATATCATTACTCATAATATCAATCATTAGATTGTCTGGTCCAGACTTCATCATGTACAGGCCACTGTCAGATAACTTGAAAACTGCTGATTGCAACCTCAGTTTGCAAATTGTCATCGCAACCAATGAAAACCTACACAAATTCTTGTCCATTCGTACCTTAGACAGTATTCCATTTGGGTGTACATGCCATGGCACTCAGAAATTACAGGATGTATGAAATATGAAATAGCCACAATATAATGGTGCCACTGTACATGCCAAGTTCATCTTCTGTTCTACATCAATATGCTAAGAGGCAGACTATTTTAAATAAATGGAATATCAGGTTGGTTTTGAAGTTAATTTTATAAATTGAAGGGAAATAGAAGTTTTCAGCAATGTACCACTGAAAGAAAATAAAAAATATCAAATAACTTTATGGGTAACAACTGGTTTATTTCATTAGCGATGTTTAATGTAGAGTCCTATATCATTCTGAAGACTATTGTTTACTCATTGACTTCTAGACTTCAGTTAACATGTTGAGAGTACACATTTTCAAAGGCACATTTTGGCATTGTTTCTTCACTGGGGCAGCGACCGCCTCCGTGGTGTAGTGGTTAGAGCGTCCGCCCGGAGAGCGGAAGGTCGCAGGTTCGATCCCCGACCGCGTCATACCAAAAGACGTTAAAATATGGTACTTGTTGGTCCCTGTCTGGCTTTCGGCATCAAGCAATGTGTACACGTAAGTACGTTGGTGTCCCTAGCTCACTCACTCACTCACTCACTCACTCACTCACTCACTCACTCACTCACTCACTCACTCACTCACTCACTCACTCACTCACTCACTCACTCACTCACTCACTCACTCACTCACTCACTCACTCACTCACTCACTCACTCACTCACTCACTCACTCACTCACTCACTCACTCACTCACTCACTCACTCACTCACTCACTCACTCACTCACTCACTCACTCACTCACTCACTCACTCACTCACTCACTCACTCACTCACTCACTCACTCACTCACTCACTCACTCACTCACTCACTCACTCACTCACTCACTCACTCACTCACTCACTCACTCACTCACTCACTCACTCACTCACTCACTCACTCACTCACTCACTCACTCACTCACTCACTCACTCACTCACTCACTCACTCACTCACTCACTCACTCACTCACTCACTCACTCACTCACTCACTCACTCACCTTGCTCGCTCTCTCCCTCACTCACTCACTCACAAATGTAGGGCAGGCTGAATGTAGTAGTAGACTGAGAATAGAGTAGCCTTAACAACGTGTATTCTATAAGTGCACCTATTTTTGGATATACCTCCAAAACAACGGGACCCGTGAAGGTCTGGGTTAGAATGTGCCTTCAGTAACCCATGCTTGTCGTAAGAGGCGACTAACAGGATCGGGTGGTCAGGCTCGCTGACCTGGTTGACACATGTCATCAGTTCCCAATTGTGCTGATCGATGCTCATGCTGTTGATCACTGGATTGTCTGGTCCAGACTCGATTATTTACAGACTGCCGCCATATAGCTGGAATATTGCTGAGTGCGGCGTAAAACTAAACTCACTCACTCCCAAAACAACGGTTCTTCACACACAGCAACAATCATGCAAAGTGTGTTTCAGAAAGAATATTTTCATGTTCTAGTGTCTGTATTCAGCATGGGTTCTGCTTGGTTAACAGAGGGTCATACAAATTGACGAGATCAAGGTCTTTCTCGGTAAACAACCATGTTTTATAATTATACAATTACGCTTCTATCTCTTCTATTACTTGTACCTATGCAATGAGAACATCTATCATCATGAAATAACTCACTCACTCACTCACTCACTCACTCACTCACTCCTCACAAATGTAGGGCAGGCTGAATGTAGTAGGAGACGGGAAGTTCACCTGACCTTGTACCCATGAGCATTTTCATATTTTGACAAAAGGTCACACGATACAAGTAGATGTTGTCAGCGTACACTCTACACCCTCATCAATTTTAGTCATGCCCAAAATAAATGAGGTTCATCTCGGCCTGCCTTGCTGCCAGACCCCATGCTGTTAGCCTGAAATGTCCACAAAGAACATCCGGCTGTGAGCTCTCTTCTTGCTTGTTTCACTTCATGACATACTTTAATATACCAAGACTTCCAAAACATTCATGCTTCAAAATGAAACACCTCCATCAACTGGAAAATTCACTGATGCTTTGATCAGTTAATTTTGAATATATCAATTCTCTCATCATTTTTTAGAAAATTAAATGACGATCTAATATTTGTGATTGGAAACTGCAGAATATCTGGGATGCAGGCAGGTTTTAAGTTAGTATGAAAAGCAGAATTCTGAATATACCACTCAATAGAAATGAAAAAGCACTGGATTCTTTGACATTACCGACATAAAACTAAACTCACTCACTCACTTTGATATTACCCTATACAATAGTTAATCTGTTATACATACTCTAAAGAAATTAAAGTGTTCTTTCAATTATTTTCAGTAGCATGTACAATGATGTTGATAACAATGCAGTAGTGTTGGGAATTGGTTAAAATGTCATAATTGATGATTGGTTCATTACCACCGATCAATCATTGAAAATAATTGGTTAGCATCATTTATGAAATTTGTTAATGCACAAAAATATAAGGAATTAACATGTACTTATTTTGGGGGTTTTTTTGGCAAAATTTCACATCTTTAAAGGATGACTAGTATGTTAGGAACATAAATTTCTTGATGTCTTTAAGATAAATTCATTGATGACTTCCGAACAAGCTTGTAGTGCTTATGAAATGTAACAGACAAAACCAACCTTGTGAAAAATATTGTTGATGAAAACAAGTGTTCCAGAATTGTTTGTGTTCGATTATGAGAAAACATGATCAATTGCTTGGTCGTTTAGTCACTGCGACCAATCTCCAATTATTTCAATTAATCGGACCACCACTACAATGCAGTGTACAAAGATGTCTTTGAAGTACTTTTATCAAGATGTACTGGTAGGTCTAAGTTAGCGAGAAATACGGAATTCTGTGTTATACAAAAGCCTGACGTAAAGATGTGAATGAAAATACAGAATTCTGTTTTCTGCAAAAGCCTGATTATATTCAATGGTGTTGATGAAGAAGAAGTATATGTAAAGTAGATTCAAGATATATATCAAGTAGACTGATCATGATGTATGTAAACTGTACAGTCACCAGAGCATCCCGTGTTTACCAGTATCTAATTTCAACCTGCGTCATAACTTTATTTCACAAAGATAAAAACTTGTTCACTTCACGCTTGTGACATGCACTTACCTCGTCTGTGTCGCAGTCCTCGTGGCGGGATTTCATGAGGGATGTATAGCGAATATATCGGTCCACTCAACACGCTCCAGTGATCAGCCTGTGAAGTCAGGCGTGGTATAAACGTACATTAAGAGATAATAAAACTCTGTTGAAAAGTTTAGGTAATATGAGTGATAATTGTCATGAAAGGATGGCTTTGTTGGGCAGCCTAGACATAGCATAATTCTAGACACTGGTGCATTGTGGGGAGCTTATCCATAAACGTGGTCGTTGGTGGTGTGTTTTTGATCACATTTTGCGGATGGTTCCATGAAAGAAGGGTGTCCTTTCATAACTACAAGGTCTAGGGACTGGCATTCCGACATCATTCTGACAGTAGCTTATTGTTTTCATACAGTAAACTAATTTTAGAAAATAATAAATTGGATATTAACTCTCATGTCAATATTTTTGTAATACAAACATGAAAGTAACTCTGTTGTCCTACGCCATCCATTCAAAGGTTCAGTGGGACACAGTGAGGGATCCACATTGCATCCATATGGGATTCAAACCCAGGTGTTTGGGATGGATGTGCTTTGATTTAAGCACTTTTCTACCCCTCCGCCTGAAGTAGTGAGCCGAACAGGTTCTTAATTCAGTGTACAGTGACAGTCCAAAATAAATGTGTTTCTTGTTTTTGTGAACAGCTGGCCCAGTTTCAAAAGGAAAATGTAATTGAATAATTTAAATTTCATTTTTGTGACCAATTTCATGTGTCTTCTGCTGTCATTGCTGGAATATTGCTAATGCGGCATAAAACCTCGCTCACTCACTCACGCACTCTTACATTTATTACCCTCTCTCTGCGTGCATGCATTTAGACACAAGGTTATCTTGGTCATGTATGTTGATTCACCTGACAATTTATATTTCCATGTTTACAATCTTGATATAGGAACTTGATCTGGCTATACATCATACATGACATTCATTCTGTCCAAATATGAGTCCAACACTCGTTTCAAGAGAGCCAGATTTTTCCTAGTTATAGAAACTGAGTTATGATTATCAACAAGACAGCAATGTTGAACAGTTTATTCATGAATACAGGGCTGTACCTGTGTTAATGTTTTGGACGAGCAAGTTGAAGGTCAGAGTATTACACGGACGATTGATCAGGAATAACTGACCGCCCTGGGCCAGTTTGAGCTGCATTGTGTGGACGTTCTGTAACACTGGACATGTACAGGGGTATTAGTTGGTTGGATTGACCAGGAGCAGAGGCTAACTGGGGAAAGTACATTCACACTGACAAATTGATCCTTGGAATGTTGTAAGCTGTATATAATGAGGGGTCTTAAAGCACTGCCCCCACTTAGCTCACCTTAACATCCGGTGAATGAGTGGTTGATTGTTATAATGACATATTTTGTTTGTGAATATGTGGCTCAGTGACGTTAACACTGTCTCTGTTTTTAACAATGTGACACTCTGTGTTGACACTATGTGAAACTGACAATGACACTGTGACATTAACACGGAAACTGACACTAACACTGAAACTGGCAATGATACTGTGGCATTAACACTTAACTGACAATTACACTGTGACATGAACACTGAAACTGACAATGACAGTTATTGATATTGAAACTGACAATGATAATGTTATTGACACTGAAACTGACAATGACACTGTTATTGAAACTGAAACTGACAATGACAATGAAACTGGCAATGATACTGAAAACTGACAATGACACTGTGACATGAACACTGAAACTGACAATGACACTGTTATTGACAATGAAACTGTTATTGACACTGAAACTGACAATGACACTGTGACATGAACACTGAAACTGACAATGACAGTTATTGACACTGAAACTGACAATGACACTGTGACATTAACACTGAAACTGACAATGACACTGTTATTGACATTGAAACTGACAATGACACTGTTATTGACACTGAAACTAACAATGACACTGCGACATTAACACTGAAACTGACAATGACACTGTGACATTAACACTGAAACTGACAATGACGTTCTGTGACACTGACAATGCCTAATTATGTGCTCAAATGATATAAATCATTTGTTTAAGAACCACTACAGCATATCATTTACTTGACACAATGTATGCATGAGCTTCAATGCAAAAGAAATTTTATCTCACATGTGCAGAAAAGATATCCTCAACACCCCAAAAAACTAATGCTTTACTGAGGTAATTATGTAAATGTGTGCACAAGACGAGGCTGCTGTTACTGCATCAGCCATGGTATGTGCATGATTTATGATCGGAAATAGACCCTGACAGTCATAAACACTGGCCCAATGAAAAACAGACATTGTGTCCCTGTCTCCGGGATTCTTCCCACAGTTGATATTAGACAACCTGAGCATTGTCTGGTGGAGTTAACAGTGACATTGTGAACCTGGGTTCAACAGGAGAGTGATGAGCTTATATGTTGCATACTGAGGGTCATGGGAGAAACAGGATCTGGTAAAATGGGTTGACGGTTGTGAGAAGTTTCACATGAACCAGAATAAATTTTATGGATAGACGTCTTTATTGCATAGTTGCGACAATTTTGTTAAATTCCTGCATCACTTGTGGCTTTCCTCCAGTTGACATATACAGCTCCAATTTTGATAGGGATAACTTTGTCTATGATGTACAAAATTGATTCAGATATGTATATGTCTGATAGTGTATATTGAAATAGAATACATCTGACTATCCTTATCAAAATATGAGTAGTGTTTTTAAGATCAATACTGTTAAAAGTGCACAATGCCAACTGGGACATTAGATGAATGAATATTTGTGTCAGGAATATATAGATCACAGAGGTCAATAATAACTGAGTGAGTGAGTGAATGTAGTTTTACACTGCTTTTAGCAATATTCCAGCAACATCACGTGAGGGTTTTATCCGCTTTTAGCAATATTCCACACATCACGTCGGGGAACACCAGAAATGGGTTTCACACATTGTACCCATGTGGGGAATCGAACCCGGGTCTTCGACGTGACAAGCAAACGCTTTAACCACTAGGCTACCCCACCGCCCCCCATAATAACTGCATTTGGACAGGAAAAATAGTGACTGATAGCAGTAGCATTAATTCTTTATTCTACTTCAGATTCCACACAAGGACTTTTATCACTACTACACTCCTACCATTCCTTCTAAAGCACAAAACACATTGCCACATATAACAGTTCTAAAGGACTACAAGGTATAAACGGACACTAACAATTTGAAATGTCTTTATTCAATCACACAGCTCAATCACATAAATTTCAAACATCGACAGTGCAATTGTGATGTCATATTTGGCTTATAGTGTAACAAGATTTGATGAATATACCATAATAAATAATAAATATAAACTCTGGTGTACAATCATGCACGCCAAATTTTACATATCTAACTTAAGCAGTGTATACAAGATCACCTGAATGTCAGGATAACCAAAACGATACTTGTCAGTTATGAAACAAAACAAACATGAATAAACCAGGTACACCCTATATGTCCACAACCTGGACACTGTCCCAGTCATTCTACTGTGGAGTGAGTATGTGAGTATAGTTTTACGCTGCTTTTAGCAATATTCCAGCAATATCACGATGGTGGACACCAGAAATGAGCTTCACACATTGTACCCATGTGGGGAATCGAACCTGGGTTTTCGGCGTGACGAGCGAATGCTTTAACCACTTGGCTACCCTACCGCTCTATTCTTCTCTGGAACATACACTAGGGCTGCAATGAGTCCACTATGTGGCAACTACAATACATTTCACAAATATAGGGTCACAAATACAAATATTTCTCCCGAATACCATTACACATTCAGTCAAATGATAACAAAATACATTATTTGACATGTTTTGACCATGATGACAGTGTTAATATGTCACAACAGTGACAACACAGCCATCAAATCAATTTTTTTTTACATATGAGTGGTGACTATTATCCTGCCTGCCTCGGACATATTGCATGTCTCACTGTGATAAATAACCGATTCAAGTGAAAAAGACTCTTTAAACAGATCATGAACGTTTGATTCAAGTGGTTGTAAATAATGTAATTAATTAATTAAATTCATGAAGGAATATTGTTCAAATCACTGAATACACAAGTGAATTGTAGCAGCCCTAGTATGAATGTCTACATACATTATTTATGTACTACTCTACTGCTGATATGAACATATGTTCTACTATTTACAATTACTGAAAAGATGTGCAGTTGGACACCTTCATCCATATTGAGTGGTATACTCACAGTAATATCACAGTATTGAGGTAACACATGATGCTGCAGATTGGGGATAGGATACATTTCAGGAGGGGGTGGAATATTGGACAGTTTAGCAGCCTGTAGTTAATCAAGTCTGGACCAGATAATTCAGTGATCAACAGCATGAGCATCGATCTATGCAATTGGAATGAGTTCGTATCAGCTGTGCAGCGGTGCATCTGATGCACAGAAGTCCCAAAAGGGGGGATCATGTGCATTAGATTGGGATGTAGTATGAGATAGACCAGGGAGAAGATAACATAATTTTCTGCTCTCCCGTCACCAACTGACAACCCCAATCCATTAAGTCTGCTCTCTTATTTCACCCAAATTGAGCAATACAAATCTTCACAGTTTGGCAATGTTGGATTTATGATAAAGAAACAACTATGAGGTCCTTATAACCAATGATGTATAACAAAACACACACCTATGACAATCAACACCATGTATACAGATCCTACAGGGCACGATTCTCCAGCCACAAGACAACTGTAAAGCTTTAACATGGAAGCCAAGGTGACTATAAAAAAGCAACAACTGCAGAATTCTTAATATGATATGAAAAATTCAGCTAATATTTACCATTTGGAAGTTTAATACTGTTTGTGTAAATTAATCTGTGTTCTGAATGCTGAATGGATTATTTTGGCAAGAGCTGTTCAACATGGCAGAAGTACAGCATATAGGGACTTCTTGTTGTTGATCAGAAAGTTTTGCTGTCAAAACTGTTGACAAATAATACAAGTATTTATATAACTCGTAAAACCCTAGAACCTTCAACATCAGCATGAACACTACTAGTATGTACCTTGTTTGTGATCCACAAAGAATGGCGTTCTGTTGGTGCTGTACATTGGTGTTGTAATGGTGGTGCTTTGGTGTACTCGTGTATCTGTGATGTACTTGTGTCATGCATTGGTGTTCTACTTGTGGTGTACTGGTTGTATATTTGTGGTGTACTGATTGTATATTTCTGCAGACAGACATTACTCAATGCACAGTTCATATTTTGCATATGATCAATAATCAACAGTAAAACAGAGTAAAAAATCCCACTGAACCATCAACATGTGAATCTCTGTGATTACACCCCATGATGCTGAGGATGGTATCTAAGGAAGATGCAGCAGCTGAAACCACTGTAACTCATCTCACTCGAAAAACACTGATTGAGGATTCAGAATCATGTCACAACAAAACAAATGATTCTATTGTATTTAAAGTGTAAATATTTCAGAAACAACAAAACATCATTCCTTTTTTGGCCAGTTTTGTTACTTCATATGTAGTTCAACAATTTTCAAGGTTTCCAAATTTAGGCTAGAAGGAACATGGGGCATCAAAATAACATCTTTACCAAAAATGTTTTTGTCAGATTCTTTCAACAGTTGTAACAAGACCCCTCATAAAATCACACAGAAATTGGTTTTGATGATGAAGGCACATATCCATTATTGTAACATCAGATCTGGGTTCCAACACCCAGACTAAATGTCCGCCACGAGTACCCCTTCTGTTGACCGAGTTCCGGTGTGACTACATGATGCTTCCTCATAGAGAGACTGCCATAGCGGGGCTGGGTGGAGGGAGGAGGCATTGGGGCCATGCGGGGGCCATTGTACTTGAGGGTCTTCCGGTTGAACATTGCATCTTTCACTCGTGTGTTTGCCTGTAGAGGAAATAAAAAATCATGAGTTTACAAGCGGGCTTACTTTGTTTGTTTGTTTGTTTGTTGTTTAATGCTGCATTCAGCAATATTCCAGCCATATGGCTGCTGTGAGTTAAAAATTGAGTCTGGACCAGACAATCCAGTGATCAACAGCAGGAGCATCAATCTATACAGCTGGGATACGATGACATGTGTTGACCAAGTCAGCGAGCCTGACTACCCAATCCTGCCAGATGCCTCTTACCACAAGCATGGGTTGCTGAAGACCAATTCTAACCTGGATCTTCACGGGTGGAAACAAGCATGGGTTGCTGAAGACCTATTCTATCCCAGATCCTCACAGGTAGCTGGCTAACTAATAATTTTACAAGAGCATATAACTATATTACTATTGGGGTAAACATTGGTTTAACGTCAAGTTCAAGATTAATGCGCTTACATGTATGCCTGACTGACTGACTGAGTTCAGTTTTACTCCGCTTTTAGCAATATTCCAGCAATATCATGGCTGGAGACACCAGAAATGGGCTTCACAAATTGTACCCATGTGGGGAAATTCCAACCCGGGTCTTCAGCGTCGAGTCAACGCTTTAACCACTAGGCTACCCCACCGCCCCACATGTATGCACATGTGTGTTGAGGGTGCATATGGATGCCAGCCCACTGAGTGCCAGCCAGTCTTTGCTCTATCACCTTAATGCCAAACACAGGCAGGGTAACAATAAGTTCCATCTGTCAATGTGTTTAGGTATGAATTGCAGCAAGGCACTTAACCTTCAGCTTCTGCTCACTGCCACTGAGAAAATGCTTTATCCAGCACATTCTTTAGCTTTATCACCTTAATGGTTAAAGCAGCAGGCAGGGTAACCCATAAGTACCACATGGGTACAATGTGTGAAGCCCATTTCTGGTGTCCCCCGCCGTGATGTTGCTGGAATATTGCTAAAAGCGGCGTAAAACCAAACTCAGTCAGTCAGTCATTAGCTTTGTGACTAAGCAATTATGTGAACCTGCATTTAATTTTGCAGTGATGCTGAAATGTCTCTCAAAATCAAACCCTTCCAAGTACAACTGAGAAAAGAGGGTTCAGTGCTTCATTTGCCATTATTGTATCCATTTCACAGCAAGGGATACAAAGTCTAACATTTAACCTGTACCTTGGCCGCTAATCTGGAGCCTTGGTCTAGCAGAATATTCTCTCTAAGAAGTTGACCATAAACACAGAAATCAACTGGGAATGTTCTCCACTGTTGGGCAAGTAAACTTACAGACTGCCTGTGTGGGAATCAAACCTTGTTGCAACTACAGACATCACAGATCTCACCTTCTTCTTCTTGTGGGCAAACTTCAAGTTGAAGTCTCTCTCCTCAATACACAGTGCCAGGGCTGGGATTCCACCTCCTGGCCGCCAGACCTGGATGTCAGGGGGAGACAACCCTCGTTCCTCCCCTGTGTCTGGCCTGGAGTCATCGTGACCCAGTGCCTTGCCACCCACCAACCTGCAACGGGAATTACATCACTGATGAATTGAGTGGGTGAGTGAGTGAGTTGGGTTTAATGCTTCATCGAACACTATTGAATAAACAAACATACCGTCGACAATGTACAGCTGTGCTACATGTGGATTCTATGGTGATCTGTTCAAACTAAACTCATAGTATTCAAAAGTTGATTTCATGAAGAATTGTCAGGGCCACATTCAGCAACAGTACTCTTCAGTGCTATGATCATCATAAGTCAATGTTGGAATTAAAAGTACAGGAGTTATGATAACCCTAGCATTAAGATCACTTTGTTGAATGGGACCTTCACTGAACAAATCTGTCAGAAGGCAAGACAGACATACACAATTGTCAGAAGTGATTTGAGAAGTTGAACTATCGATAAAATATGAAACAAGATTAACTACAAGATATTCAAAATAGGCACATTTTCATTCAAACTCTGCATTTGTCTCTTCGTTTTTGTAGGAACATTATCAGGACAAAGTGAGATACATATCCAATAAGGCTGTAATCATTCACTCGCATATTCGGTGAATCGAACCATAGCCCTTCATGAATTCAATTCGTTATTCGTGGTCACCAGAACCGAATATTAACGAATATTTACAATTTTTTTAAGGGAGCATGTTTAACTTGAACCCTTACTTTTCCAAAGTGAGATATGCAAGAATGGAACATGTACTAGCATTGCAGTAGTGCAAGTCATGTTAGTTTGCCAAGGCTGCACATGGTACTGTCGATTATAACTATTACATACCAAATTTGAGTGTCATGAGATCACTGGTTATTGCTGTGACAAATCAAAACTGTCAACATGGGCGTTCCATACTGTACATCAATCACTTAACTACAATATTGTATTCATGAATATATTTTCGTATTTGTTACCCAATATTCATGATACGTATCATATTCACCACATAGTGTATTCATTGCAGCCCTAATATCCAATTTCTTTCCATTAAGATAAGTGACAAAAGTCTGCTCAGCAAATTGGGATGACCATGTCAACTGGGCAACCATGGATGAATGGCTACTACTGATAAGAGCTAGGGCATCACTGTCCATCACTTGCCTGTCCAGTGGCTGGAGTTTAATGGGTGAAGCTGTGGCCACGAGATTTTCCAAAGTTTGGCGGGCAGCATCAGCAACTGGGCTGTTTACGACGTGAGCCACAGACTTGCCTGGGAAGAGGCGAGACAGAATGGAGATTACGTCCTCATTGGTGGGGTCGAGCAGAAGGCCTAGGATGAGATCCTGGCGGGCTCCAGTCGAGTTCTGAAGACAGATGACTAGTGTGTAGGGATGCTGTGTTGTCATGGTGACAAAATATAGGAATCATACAGAAATTGGTTAACAGCTCTGTCAATAATAAATCTTAATCTTAATCTTAATGTGCATCTGTCATCAAAATCCTGCTAAATGTTTGGCCAGTATCGATATCATGTCATCACAAATTTTGTAGGGATGTCACTTTGTACTACAAGTTACCATTCTAAAAGCCTAACATCAGTTGCACTAATATTTCAACAATAAATACCTCTTGAACAAAATATGACAAATTGTGTTACATTACAAGTGTAGTGTACATGACTTTACGAGATGTGCTGTTTAAACCACTTATTCTTTGATATCATTATGTACAAGTAAATTCCGCTTCTGAAAGAATATATACTCCACTCATGACACATTTAAGTCATGATCTTGGTACAACACAAATTGTCTGCTACTAAACTGGCTAGAAATATATGCATCATCTTGAAAAAAAGAACAACTATGGCGACAAGGTTCCACAACATAATTATCAGGTCTAAGTTCATATTACTACTTTGAAAAGGACTGATAAATATGAATCATATTTTCCAACTTTACAAAGGTATTGAAACATGTGGTTATTAAATTGTTCATGAACTGTCCTATATTTAACTAGATAGGTTTGTTACCATTACACTTCTGGAGACAACTCTTTCATCTCCACCCTTCTCGAGATGGGAACTATTTTCAACATGATTATTCAGATTAAAGGAATTTCATTGGTTTGTCTTATCTGAGATAGAACTGAAACAATTGGTTAAGAAAATTAAATGGGAGATTAAACTAGAAAGTGTTTTTACTTGTAAAAACATGTCTCCCCGTTCCCCATATTCAACGTTGAGTGAAAGTTCATGGTGTTTTATAGTAGTACATGTATATGGTTGATGCTTCTAAGCTTACCAATAATTGGTATTAAGTATACAAATTTGGTGAAGATGGGTGAAGTGGTTTTAGAGTTATGCTCATACACAAACCCTACCCTTGAAAAAGACCAAGTCCAAATTTGTTGCCATTGAAACAGCAAAAAATAAAATTGAAAGAAAAGTTCAAACCTCCAAAAGGCACATCTATATGATATGGAGAGGCAGTATAGCAAAGTTGGTGAAGATGGGTCATTTAGTTTCAGAATTATGCTCCAGAAACAAACTTTAACCTTCAAAAAGACAAAGTCCAAATTGTTGCAATGAAAACAGGAAAAAAATAAAATTTAGAAAAAAACCCTCAAACCCACAAAAGGCAAATCTACATGATATGGAGAGGCACTATAGCAAATATGGTGAAAATGGGTTAACAGTTTCAGAATTTTGCTCCGGTACCAAACTTTACCCTTCAAAAGTACAAATTGTTGCCATGAAAACAGAAATTTTGTACACGTAAACTAGGTGGGTCAGCAATTTTGTACATAAAAATACTAAACATGGGAGGGGAGGGGGAGGAAGAGACATTGATTTTGTACATGACATGCAGGGGATGGGGTAGGCGCACTTACTTTGTACATAATTTTTTTCTTTTCTTTTTTGGTGGGGTTGGGCTGTCATTCACATCATACATGCTTCTCCATAAAAATCATCACACACACCCCAAACATTGACAAATGTGCCAGAAGGCCTAAACAGGAGTTATCTCCCTGTACTCCACCTTTCTTGGTTCATTTAAATCCAATCACTGGCTGGAATCCATTTTGCATGTGATATGATCTGGCTGTACATGGTTTATAAAATCACCACTCAACTGCTTCCCACAGTACATGTACTAGAGTTGTCTCCCTTTAATCAATCAAATAGAGTTACCTCCCTGTAACCATGCAGGCTCCTTTACTCACCTCCAGCATGTACCTGGAGCGTGCCCGAGCAATGTAGTACTGACCGACATGGGGGGTTGTACTGGATAGCCATCGTGAATTTCACCTCCGATTCCTGTAAGGTAAATGTAGGGTCAAAACGATCATGAAATATCTGTATTCTTTTTAGCTACAGGACTGTTTCAAGATGGCAACCACTCCACCAAGTTTGCTATCACCTCAACCTTTACTCGGTCAACTCTTCTCATACAAAGATCCACTGTAAATTTGTTCTTCCTACAAGAGATGGCTGATGGGATCGGGTGATCAGGCTTGCTGACTTGATCGATGTATGTCATCATATCTCAATCGCTAAATTTGATTCTTGTCATGTAGGGCTGACTATTGAGGGGGAAACAACTATTGCGATAACGACAGTCTATTGCAACATACTATTGTGATAGCCATAGTCTATTGCAACATACTATTGCGATAACGATAGTCTATTGCAACATACTATTGAAATAGCGATAGTCTAGTGCGACCAACTATTGCAATTCTATTGACATAGTTGGTCGCAACAGACCTTCTCCTTGAATTGTCACATTTGAAGTCATTTCCCAAATGAATGTATAGTTTATATGAAATAAAAACAAGCTGAAGTAGTTTCAGTCTCTTTTAATAACTGACAAGAAACTTGACACCCAGATCAAGTTTGTTTAAGAGGTAACAGGGGTGGATAACTCTAAATCAAAGTGAATGTATCTGGTACTTCCTGTAGTTTGCGCTGTGCATTTATCAACGGAAATCAATTACTAATCTATCGATAGTCACACATACTATCGAAGCATTTATAGATGTTTGTTTCAACCATCGATTTATTGCTATAGAAGACTCAACAATTGCAATCCATCGATAGTTTGATGCATCGTTACAGCCCTATTGCCATGTCCATCACTGGATTGTGCAGTAAAGACTCATTCATTTACAGAAAACGATATCAAAGCTGGAATATTGCTAAGTGTAGCATCAAAGAACAAACAAAAACACAAACAACCAGTCAAGTCATACACCAAACTGGATGTATATTAATTGAGGTGACAACTTACAGCATAGTTTTTATCCTGGTAGGCGCCGACCCCAAACTCGTTGTGTATGACAGCAATACGTGACTTGGTTGCCTGGTCACCAGCATCCAGTTCCATGGCTTGGTGATAGTCCTGGAGGGCAAAGTTCAACTCGTTCTGCTTGAAGAAACAGTCTGAAATGTGGAGAATACTTTCATATATTTCCAATCTACCAAGCAGTAAAGGTTGATGGAGTTCCAACATTACTTCAACAGAGAACTGTCTGGTAATAACATATTTTTCTGCCTGCATGTAGAATGTAAGTGGCATGACAGACAAAGGTTTGACCTTGGATCCTGACACAGGTAAGAATCTTTTTAGGTCCAAACACAAATTTAACCAATTTAATGCCTGAACTTGAACAAGAAGCCAACTCTCCTTCACATTTTTTTCAGAAAAAAATATTCTTCTTGCAACATCTTGCCATGGCTCATAATTTACAAAATGAATTCAGCTGGGACAGACAATTTGCATTTACAAACTATGGTTTTTAATGAACAAAAATTAATGGTCCCATTGAGTATGTTGTAACCACAGTCTTCTATACATCACTATAGATGTTGTTTCAGTACTGACTGATATAACAATGGATGATATTTGTCTCCGGCACATGAAAATCAGACCTTAGAGGTCTTTTGTTTCAGTTTGAAGTCCTTGCTTACCTCCCCTGTTGATGTAGAGTCCCTTTTCATGCTTCTCTCCCTTGATGGCCTTGTTTAGCAGAATGATGGCCTCATCATAGAAACACTTGGAGAAGCACTCCACAGCAAAGTCGTTGTACGTCAACAGCAGCTGTCGCTGTGAGTCGGCATACACTGGATTGCTTTCATCATGATCACACTTGTCCAGAGCCAACAGGAAGTCATCTATCGCCGCGTTGAAGTCATGAAGCTTTCTGTGCAGGGCTCCTCTGAAAGCAGGATTGAAAGCATGGTATGAAACTAACATAAACGAAACAGCATGTCAGTTCTGTGTCAATCTCACCAGCTTTGACAGAATAGAATGAGGTCCCAAGTACCCCATGCTTCTCAACTCGCGAGGGTTATTTTAAGTTTCTTGAGATATAGCTGTAATATTACCTCAGAACATGGTAGCCTGCAATTGAGGGGTTTGTTTCTATGGCGATGGAAATCTTTTGCAGAGCCTCTCTGTGTTTGCTGAGCACGTTCAGATGCATGGCTTGTTTCTTGTTGTCGTCTGCTCGACGTTCCAATGCCGCCATCATCATCTGGGCTTCAGAATGCTCTCCGTCCAGGGCCAGGGCATCTTTCACATCATAGTAACACAATGTTGTCTGAAACATAAACACCCGTAACATTGTAATAACACAACATTGTCTGAAACATAGACATCCTTCATATTGTAGTAACACAATGTTGTCTGAGACATAAACACCTGTCACATCGCTGTAACACAAGGTTGTCTGAAACAATAACATCCTTCACATTGAATTAACACAACGTTGCCTGAAACATAACTTACCTTCATGTCATGGTAGCAAAACATCTGACACATAAACACTCTTCACACTGAAGTAACACAATGTTGTTTGAAACATACACATCATTCACATCACAGGGGCACAATGTTGTCTGAAAATATAGGTAATGGCCATAATTTTACCTCCTGGCCATTCATAGTACTACTCACATTTCTGAACATCTCGTGCAGCCTGGCCCTCATGATGTAGAGATCTGCGTTGGTGTTGTCTATCTCCAGCCGTTTGTTGACCAAAGCCAGACATTCCCCATGCCGCTGTAGCGCTGCCAGACACGAGATACTGCAACACATCAAAGAAGACTGCTCCTAAAACTGCTGTCTCAAGATCTGGGCCTCCTTTCACAAAGCACTAAGGTGATCGTAAGTCACTAAGGTAGCCTTAGTGCAATGTTCAAGAATGGGAGTTAAGGTTAACCTTAGTAAAGGTTGCTTTAGCGAAAGGAGCCCCTGAGCCATATGTCTCCTGGCATCATTTCTCAAAACCTTTTACTGGTTGATCATGACTGGATTGAAAGTAATGTTATTCTCTGACTCCAGACAAAATAAACTAAAAAGTAAAAACCAAACATCTGGCTATTCATACTTAACTGGGAATTTTTGATAGACTAAATTTTTCAAGTCTAATGTAGTAATGGAACATAAGTAGACATTAACTTTAGGTCCATATCGTGTACAGTATATGCTAGAGGCCCCAGTCTCTGCCCTAGTTGCTGAGGTTCGTGCCAGTTGATGTACTCACCTTCTGATGTGGTAGCTGATGTTGTCAGGCTTCATCTCGGCCGCCCTGGAGAAGGACTCAAGGGCCTCGGCGTACAGGTGCTGGTCAAACAACATCTGACCCTGAAACAGTGGACAGTAGTGGGTTGTCACTGAGGAATTCTTCTCAGGTATTGACAACTCCAGAAGTATCATTGCTCAACTAAACATAGTTGTGGAACACCAGCCAACAGTAGAACACCTTACTGCAGGGTCCAGAACAAGTTGTACCTCAACTAAAGGTAGTTGTGGAACACCAGCCAACAGTAGAACACCTTACTGCAGGGTCCAGAACAAGTTGTACCTCAACTAAAGGTAGTTGTGGAACACTAGCCAACAGTAGAACACCTTACTGTGCAGGGTACAGAACAAGTACAGCTCAACTAAAGGTTGTTGTGGAACACCAGCCAACAGTAGAACGCCTTAATGCAGGGTCTAGAACAATTACAGCTGAACTAAAAGGTAGTTGTGGAACACAAGCCAACAGTAGAATGCCTTATTGTGCAGGGTACAGAACAAGTTGTAGCTCAACTAAAGGTAGTTGTGGAACACCAGTCAACAGTAGAATGCCTTATTGTGCAGGGTCCAGAACAAGTTGTAGCTCAACTAAAGGTAGTTGTGGAACACAAGCCAACAGTAGAACGCCTTATTGTGCAGGGTCCAGAACAAGTTGTAGCTCAACTAAAGGTAGTTGTGGAACACAAGCCAACAGTAGAATGCCTTATTGTGCAGGGTCCAGAACAAGTTGTAGCTCAACTAAAGGTAGTTGTGGAACACAAGCCAACAGTAGAACGCCTTATTGTGCAGGGTCCAGAACAAGTTGTAGCTCAACTAAAGGTAGTTGTGGAACACCAGTCAACAGTAGAACGCCTTACTGCAGGGTCCAGAACAATAACAGCTCAACTAAAGGTAGTTGTGGAACACAAGCCAACAGTAGAATGCCTTATTGTGCAGGGTCCAGAACAAGTTGTAGCTCAACTAAAGGTAGTTGTGGAACACAAGCCAACAGTAGAATGCCTTATTGTGCAGGGTCCAGAACAAGTTGTAGCTCAACTAAAGGTAGTTGTGGAACACCAGTCAACAGTAGAACACCTTATTGTGCAGGGTCCAGAACAAGTTGTAGCTCAACTAAAGGTAGTTGTGGAACACAAGCCAACAGTAGAACACCTTATTGTGCAGGGTACAGAACAAGTACAGCTCAACTAAAGGTAGTTGTGGAACACAAGCCAACAGTAGAACGCCTTACTGCAGGGTCTAGAACAATAACAGCTCAACTAAAGGTAGTTGTGGAACACAAGCCAACAGTAGAATGCCTTATTGTGCAGGGTCCAGAACAATAACAGCTCAACTAAAGGTAGTTGTGGAACACAAGCCAACAGTAGAACGCCTTACTGCAGGGTCTAGAACAATAACAGCTCAACTAAAGGTAGTTGTGGAACACAAGCCAACAGTAGAATGCCTTATTGTGCAGGGTCCAGAACAAGTTGTAGCTCAACTAAAGGTAGTTGTGGAACACAAGCCAACAGTAGAATGCCTTATTGTGCAGGGTCCAGAACAAGTTGTAGCTCAACTAAAGGTAGTTGTGGAACACAAGCCAACAGTAGAATGCCTTATTGTGCAGGGTCCAGAACAATTATAGCTGAACTAAAGGTAGTTGTGGAACACCAGTCAACAGTAGAATGCCTTATTGTGCAGGGTCCAGAACAATTATAGCTGAACTAAAGGTAGTTGTGGAACACCAGTCAACAGTAGAATGCCTTATTGTGCAGGGTCCAGAACAATTATAGCTGAACTAAAGGTAGTTGTGGAACACAAGCCAACAGTAGAACACCTTACTGCAGGGTCTAGAACAATAACAGCTCAACTAAAGGTAGTTGTGGAACACAAGCCAACAGTAGAATGTCATATTGTGCAGGGTCCAGAACAAGTTGTAGCTCAACTAAAGGTAGTTGTGGAACACCAGTCAACAGTAGAATGCCTTATTGTGCAGGGTACAGAACAAGTTGTAGCTCAACTAAAGGTAGTTGTGGAACACAAGCCAACAGTAGAATGCCTTATTGTGCAGGGTCCAGAACAAGTTGTAGCTCAACTAAAGGTAGTTGTGGAACACCAGCCAACAGTAGAATGCCTTATTGTGCAGGGTCCAGAACAATAACAGCTCAACTAAAGGTAGTTGTGGAACACAAGCCAACAGTAGAATGCCTTATTGTGCAGGGTCCAGAACAAGTTGTAGCTCAACTAAAGGTAGTTGTGGAACACCAGTCAACAGTAGAATGCCCATTGTGCAGGGTCCAGAACAGTAGCTGAACTAAAGGTAGTTGTGGAACACCAGTCCAACAGTAGAATGCCTTATTGTAGGGTCCAGAACAATTATAGCTGAACTAAAGGTAGTTGTGGAACACAAGCCAACAGTAGAACACCTTACTGCAGGGTCTAGAACAATAACAGCTCAACTAAAGGTAGTTGTGGAACACAAGCCAACAGTAGAATGCCTTATGTGCAGGGTCCAGCAAGTTGTAGCTCAACTAAAGGTGCAGGAACACCAGTCAACAGAATGCCTTATTGTGCAGGGTCCAGAACAATTATAGCTGAACTAGGTAGTTGTGGAACACAAGCCAACAGTAGAATGCCTTATTGTGCAGGGTCCAGAACAAGTTGTAGCTCAACTAAAGGTAGTTGTGGAACACCAGTCAACAGTAGAATGCCTTATTGTGCAGGGTCCAGAACAATAACAGCTCAACTAAAGGTAGTTGTGGAACACAAGCCAACAGTAGAATGCCTTATTGTGCAGGGTCCAGAACAATAACAGCTCAACTAAAGGTAGTTGTGGAACACAAGCCAACAGTAGAACACCTTACTGCAGGGTCTAGAACAATAACAGCTCAACTAAAGGTAGTTGTGGAACACAAGCCAACAGTAGAATGCCTTATTGTGCAGGGTCCAGAACAAGTTGTAGCTCAACTAAAGGTAGTTGTGGAACACCAGTCAACAGTAGAATGCCTTATTGTGCAGGGTCCAGAACAATTATAGCTGAACTAAAGGTAGTTGTGGAACACAAGCCAACAGTAGAATGCCTTATTGTGCAGGGTCCAGAACAATAACAGCTCAACTAAAGGTAGTTGTGGAACACAAGCCAACAGTAGAACACCTTACTGCAGGGTCTAGAACAATAACAGCTCAACTAAAGGTAGTTGTGGAACACCAGTCAACAGTAGAATGCCTTACTGCAGGGTCCAGAACAAGTTGTAGCTCAACTAAAGGTAGTTGTGGAACACCAGTCAACAGTAGAATGCCTTATTGTGCAGGGTCCAGAACAATTATAGCTGAACTAAAGGTAGTTGTGGAACACAAGCCAACAGTAGAACACCTTATTGTGCAGGGTCCAGAACAAGTTGTACCTTCAACTAAAGGTAGTTGTGGAACACCAGCCAACAGTAGAATGCCTTATTGTGCAGGGTCCAGAACAATTATAGCTGAACTAAAAGTAGTTGTGGAATACTATCCCACAGCAGAAGCCTAATTGAAGGGTTTAGAAACTTTTATTGCTCACCTGGAAATAGTAGAGGAACGCCAGCCGAATATAGAACACCTCATTGCTTGGTCCCAGGAGACACGCTTTCTTGTAGTTGAGCACAGCAGACTGGAAGTCGCACAGCTGGACGTAGCACTCGCCTCGCTCCATGTACAACAGTGGGTCATCGGTCTTCAGGCCAATCGCCCTGGTCAGACACTTGATGGCAGCCACATACTTCCCAGACTTCTTCAACTCCTCGGCCATGTCAATGCTGCACAAGTGGAATACTGCAGTGATAAACAGGACATGAGTGGAACCAGATTTGTCAAATCCATTGAAAATACACAGAGTCATTTATGTATGAGTTTCCTTTATTCATAACACTTAAAATAGTTTTGATCTATTTAGATCTATTTCTCCTCCAGTCGGAATGTGTATACAACAATTTAACACTCACAAAGGGAGGTAATTTAGGAATTTGTCAATTTTGTTCTCCATACAACACAGAACTAGTTATCAGGAGCTAATTGAAAACTTTGTCCTTTTCTATCATTTTAAACTAAGCACAATTTTAAACCAGTTTCTTTCTAAATGGGGCTAAAGAGTGACATTTCTAAAATGTCCATTTCAGAAAGTACTTCGATGATGACTTATTGTTAGACAACAATGCTAATGATAATAGTTTCAAAGTTTATATGGATGGAAAATGCTTTTTGTTTAGCATTTCCATAAATGGATACTTATACCATCAATTTTGACTGGTCCAACAGATCAATTACTCTCGTCAAAACACCTCTCAAAAAGGAACAACTTTTTCAAAACTTGACAAGAAATTCATTAAAACATGGCTTCCAACCCCAACCAACTCACTGTTCAATGACCCTATCAGTGATGATTTGTCCGGCACTGGGCATGGCGGGTTTGGACTCTGTCTCCCACTCTTCTGTGGTGTAGATACTTTTGTTCCTGGCCATGGCTGCCTCCAGTGTCTCCTCATCCACCGCCGTGGAGAACACACCTGGCTCTGGCTGGTGCTCCGGCTGGACAGGGAACAAAGGCAACATAGACACTAAGTACAGGGGTGGATTACACCCAACAGGTTAATTGTCTTTCTGTCAACATCACTAAGTGGAATGGTGCAGTGGACCAGTAATACTTTCTTGTTTTCTGGACCACATGACCTCACAGTGAAACTCATGCATATTCTTCAACAAAATCACCCTGCTTGGTTCACAGATCCACTAACCTTAAAAGTTGAAAATTCATAAAGCAACATAAATCAAATTGACAAGGGTTATTTATACCACCCAGAGTATATATCACTGACAAAAGAAACAATCCAAAGGTTTTTGTATTACTAAAACAGATATCTTTCCAAAAATAACTCAGATTTCAGATTGATCATACTTTTATTTATAAGGACCCAATATTCTTTAAAAATTCCTTTTAGACCTTACAACCAACTATATCCTTCACTATGAAATCCGTAAGTCCACAAACTAACATCTGACCATAACAGATACTGAAACCATGTGTTTACAATGTGTACTGTTATGGAATGGACTTTGCATTATGTCAGTAAAATACAATAAATAACATTGATTTAGCCCACCAATTCTTGTTGATATCACTTAGGCTTATGAACAGTTCAAACGCTGGAAACATTCATCATACTGATTATGTCACATACAACATGTACCATTTCATAGACATCACAACAGTTATACACAAAAGAACAGTCTCTTCAGGCATTAATTTAAACCTGCTCAGAGGCATTTTGCCTTAAGTCTCGGGCAAATGTCATTAAAAATTCCCAAAATTTCCCATTGGCCTGCCAAAGCTACTTCAAACTCTAGATCCAGAACTATCTTCACTTGAAAACCATATCAAACATGTAGACATTATTGTTTGATTACATTTCAATTTGTTTTTCCAACTGAATACAGCCATTCTGGTTATGTGTTGAGGGGCCATCTGACTAAACATGTAATAATATTGTACAGTTCTGAAACATACATTATTTTTCAAGATTTTTTCAAAACTTACAGGGTAGGGAGAGTGTTTTTTACAATTATTTTAGGGACCGTTCAGTTCATAATTTATGGCTGTGTATGTGTGTGTGCACGTACAAACGTGCATGTGTGCGTGCGTGTGCGTGCGTGCGTGTGCATGTGTGTGTGTGTGTGTGTGTGATATGATGATTTTAAGGGGGGAGTCACACATTTTGTTCTGGGGAGGTAGGGGGTCATAAATTTTGTACATATAGATATTTAAATACCATGCTTAAAAATTATGGGAGGGGTGGGGGTGGTAATTGCTTTTGTTTTGTACATGACATGGGGTGGTCGTGGGGTGGGGGTTGGGGTTGGGGTATTCACATTGTACATGCTTCATCATAAAAGTCATCATTTCCCACCCCCAGCCATAAATTATACACGGTCCCTCAGTAGGTTACAAATCTGTAAAAGAAAGCTTGGCTCTAATGTACAGCATGACTATTTGTGGGAGATCTGTGGTGACTGCTCCTAGGTTCTCCCCTGCTAATCTGTATACAGTATGAATGGCATGATGTGTACGAAAAGCTGAAAACTGAACCTGGTACAAAAATGAACTTTGACTTAAAAGGATCATAAGAAACAAAAACATTTCTTCAACGATCATTTATACGTAAGGGATCGTTAATAATTTATGGCTAGGGGAATGATGATTTTTTTATGGAGAAGCATGTACAATGTGAGTGGACCCCCTCCCCACCTAAAATTTAAGGACAAAGTAAGTGACCCCTCTCCCCGCATGTCATGTACAAAATCAATGACCCCCCCTCCCCCTTCCCACATTTTTTAAGCATAATTTTTTTAATATTTTTATGTACAAAATTGATGATCCCCCCTAGTACATGTGTACTAAATTGATGAACCCCCTACCACCCCAGAAAAAAATGGGTGACCCCCATTTAAAATCATCATCACCCCCTAGCCATGAATTATGATCGGTCCCCAAAACATACATTATTTTCTGAAAAATAATGGCTACCACTTCTAGACATATCACACAGATGAGTACTGGCTACAGGTCACATCTAGGGCAAACTATTTCAATCACTAAACAGGCATTGCTACATGCTGCATACAGTTTAACTACATTCACAGGTTTCAGGACACAGATAAATATATTGATTAAACATAGATAACATCAGAAAATGATGCTTTCGGACAACGCCAGGATTGTAGATATTGAATTGATGTATCTTAATATGAATATCATCATCATCATCATCATTATCATTCTAGTATCATTCTACACACTACATTGTTCACATGCTATATATATTTCAGCATCATCTATCTACACACACATTGTTCACATGCTATATATATTTCAGCACATCTATAAACACAGTCTACTACAAAACACACGTTTCAACATAAATTGTCATTGGCCATAAGCAAGTTCTCAAACCATACTTCTCCAGTCAATACTCCACAAACTGTTTTCAATATTTCATTTCCATCCAACTTTCAGAACTTCTTGCATGTATGAAAATTCAATATTCATAATTATTTTTCCACTGCATTTCTTCTCAAAGAATGCCATTCAAAATTTGACCCATCCTGTGATCTTCTATTGAGAACATCATTATCAGTCCAAAACCTCAGACTAGTTTAAATTTTACACCATTTCAGTAAATCTCTAGTGCCCTGTATTAAAGCACCAATTTATAATATTCCTGTGGAACCTGTTGTTTGAAATATGAAAAACATTACAAAAATAAGTGAAATAACTTTGGAAATAAATTGTTTTCACTTCTTCAAATGATGAAAACCAACATGGAGAAATACATTTAGTGAAATTGCTTAATTTGGCCAATGGATGTCTGTACGCTTGGCTGCCTACAGTACCTACCTTCTTGCCCCAAATAGCACGGAACAGCTGCAATCAGTTCAATAACTTAAACCTTCACAGACAACGAGTGAGTGAGTTGGGTTTTTATTCCACTTTAAAAGTGTCTCAGTTACTTCAGAGAGTCAAAATGAAGGCAATGAAAACAAGAGTGCTTGATAATGTTATAAGAATCTATATCGATGTTTCCCATCACAACATGATAAAGAAATTGCCATTAATAAAGTATTTTGTCTTCATGGCTACTCATCAACTTCTAAAATACCAAACAGATCACCAAGAGACAGCTTAGCGTGGGAAGAGTGAGTGAGTGAATATGGTTCTATGCTGCTTTTAGTAATATTCCAGCAATATCACAGCGGGGGACACCAGAAATGGGCTTCACACATTGTACCCATGTGGGGAATCGAACCCGAGTCCTCAGTGTGACGACTGGATGCTTTAACCACTAGGCTACCAAACTGCCCCTTAATGTGTGAAGATAAGCATTAGTGATGTAGGTGTCTGGCATTTACCAACTTTAGGATTCAAACTCATGATCACAGGTTTCTGCCATGCTGCCCAAGGGAAGCAACTCTGCACAGCAAATTGTGGCATGTTGCACATCTTTGCCTCATGTCCTTCAGATACAATTAGGTTTGGGGATTGACTATGTTTTTCACGTTTTGGGGGGAGGAGTATCAGGATATTTTGTGGAAGAATATTTTTCAGTTCACCTCAAGACGTTCATTTTGTTTCTCTACAAAGAAGATCAATTAATTCAACTCAATCTACTAAAACCACTCTTACTCTTCCCAACAACTCAAATGATTAGTAAAAACCTGAGTACAAATATTCTTTCACCATTATTTTTAAATATAGACCACTTTTTCAAAACGATGACAGCTATTTGTTAATTCAAGTTTCAACACTTTCAAACACTAACATGTCTAATACAAACTTCACAAGGCCCTTGGTTTTGCAATGAAATAATAATTTGGACTTGGACGTGTAAGCCCTGAAGACTTGTCATGGCTCTACATAGCATAATGGGGTTCAAATTGTAACATTCTTGCTTTTTCAGTTTGACCAAATAATTATATTCCTTCACTGTTATGAATGTGAAATGAACCTTATGGAAAGTGAGTGAGTGAGTTTAGTTTTACGCCACACTCAGCAATTATTCCAGCTATATGGCTGCAGTCTGTAAATAATGAAGTCTGGACCAGACAATCCAGCGATCAACAGCATGATCATTGATATATATACAATTGGGATACCATGACATGTGTCAACCAAGTCAGCGAGTCTGACCCCCTGATCCTGTTGGTCGCCTCTTACGACAAGCATGGGTTACTGAAGATCAATTCTATCCCGGATCTTCACGGGTCCTTATGGAAAGACTTATCATTTCATTCATAATTTGGCTTCTTGTGATGATTAGTGAAACTATGTTGGCCCCAGTAAAACTGCTAAAAGAAACAAACATTAGGAGCTGATGGCTCCTAACAATTTTTCAAACCTTGAGGCATGGCATCTTTGAATGAATTTTAGACACAAGGACATCATTTACCTGGTGAAATTTCTTAGTGTGTTTACATTTGTTTGTTTGGTTGTTGTTTAAGGCTGCACTTGGCAATATTCCAGCTATATGAAGGTAGCCTGTAAATACCGATAATCGGTAGTCACGGGTGAACCAGACAATCGAATGACTGACACCATTAGCATCGATCTACACAACTGGGATACAATGACATGTGTCAATCAGGTCAGTGAGCATGACCATCCGATCTCGTTAGTTGCCTCTTAACACAAGCATGGGTTGCTGAAGACCAATTCTAACCTAGATTGTCAGGGGTTCAGTGTATTTAAATTAGTTTCGGGCAATAATCATCACAATTACCTGGGGATCATTTTCAGCACAGTTGTTGGCATCAGCCTGGAGCTCCCCTCCATCAGCACCATCCCCATCATCCCCGCCACTTGTGATAGCCCTCAGGCCTCCCCTGTCCTCGTCCTCCTCCTCCACGAACTGTTTAATAGCAACTTCCATCTGATGCTGCTGTTCCTCAGCAAACTTGCTCGCAGTCTTCGTGAAGGTGTGCTCCAATATCGGGTAGAACTGGTGGACATTGACATTTTTGGGTTCGTGTACGTAAGGCTGCATTTCCCCGCCACCTGATTCCGACTTCTCATGAGTGCTCTTACTTGGGAAGCCAGACCCTGGGGCCACCTTCTCTAATTCACCAGGTTTCTTGGTGGTCGACATCTTCAAGCGTGCCTCTGATGATGAACACTCTCGCCTCCTGAGACTTCCATTCCTCTCACTGAAAACAAGATAATATAAACACTAAGTTTGTGCAAAGTGAAATTATGGATTATCGATCTCAAATGAGTTAATATTTTAGTTCTTCTTTTGCAAAATATATTTCAATAAAGTCACATAAAGTGATATTGCTTTAGCTCATCTGAATTCATGACACAAAATCTGCTGTGATATAATGAACAAGAGATGGCGGGTCAGGCTGCTGACTTTGTGTGCTGGCAGTTAGGTGCCTGACTCTGAGGGTGTGGGGTGGAATCCCAGATGGGACTCAACCCAGCAAAAGTACTTTACTGAGAGATGGTAATCCTAAATATAACATATGTTACATTACAAATGTACTTTATTGTGTTAACCTATATCAGAAATGAACTAGTCCCTCCAGACTGTTTGATAGTGAACTAAAAACTGTCATATTGAATTTATACTTAACAGACTTAAAAAATACATCAAACTAAAGAGTTGTTGCCATTGAGCAAAAGTCTACAAGGAAATGTTACTAGTCCTTTTTCCATGTTATTAATAGCTTTCTTATGTTATTTCAGATCTTGTGTAGCACCAATACCCGGTAGCCCCAATCTAGATGACAAATAATCATCTCTTTTCCTGCTGATCTCATTCTCTTCCCACAGAGGTTACTTATCATATCTTCCTACGAACCTCTGTTCTAATACGGATCTCTTTTCCTGCTGGACATATTTCCCACAGTTCTCATATAAAACCTCTCCCTAGCTGCAAAAAAAATCGCAACACAAATTATCTCCCTTCTTTCTATCCAATCAGAACACGTGTTACATCGACTTAGATCTAACTGGACTAATGCAAGTAAATATGGGGCCACAAATATCCCTCCTCTGCCGGGGACATATGTTAATGTGACACACAAGACATCTAATGGCTAGCTTGTCCGTTGTCAACGAGGGCGATGGAGACGCCATTGATCCGCCATTACACGACTAAGTTCTGTCTAGAAGAAACGTTTGGGCATCGCACAGGGGAAGAGGTTCTAGTTTTCCCGAAGCATACGGAAATTACCGAGGCCTTGCGATTGATCACATTTGAAACAACGTCGCTGATTGCACAACTAAATCTGATTGCAACCAATCACGAATCCTGAACACTCGCACCATGAAAGGGCTGTATTAGAACAGAGGTTCGTAGGAAGATATGACAAGTAACCTCTGTGGGAAGAGAAGGTGCTGATCTATGAAAATGATAATTAGAATAACACATATTTTTCATACTCTGCAGAAATTCTGCCTAAAAATCATTTGATATATATTCCTACCTGGATTGACGTTAAACTGTTATTAATCGAAGAAAAAATTGTCATAATGCAGACAAACAAATGATATAGCATCTAGACTAACAGGAATCCAAATTATTGATCACTGTACATTTCATTTTTTGGAAAGGTGTGTTATGAAACAAGAACATTTTAATTTTGCATTGTACATTTGGTTTTTTTGGGTTTTGTCCATTTTAGGTTTTAAGTTAATGTTAAATTGTACACGATCTCCATAAAAATCATCATGGAGGCAGGTGAATGTTAACTAAATCTGACTTTGTCTGTCGTACTTTGGTAAATTACCTGAACAGTCACCAATCAAGGAACAGTTCGTCAAATGACAGTTACGTCAGAAATTATGAGTTCACAAGATCTCCGTCAGAGAAACAAAATAAATCTTCAAATCCAGAGATTGATAATCAAATTTACGGTTCAACAATTACACATCAAGCAAATGTATTCTCCACAATATCAACACGATCAGAAAATGTAAAGTGTATTTCCTGTACCTTTATTTTTTCATTATTTCCATACGATTGCTACATGGTTGAACAAGTTCAGAAGTCACGATACAGTTCCGTCTTGACGCCTTGTTGTTTACATATTTCCATGGAGAAGGAGCTTCCGGTTTCTTTGAAACGGACACGATGTAAAATACAATTTGATTGGCTAATCAGAGATTTGGGTCAATCCTTTATATCTGTTTTCTAAAATAAGACTAGCTTTGAACTCGTTCGTTTCAGTTCAGATTAAATATAATTATTGCTACTGTTGCAAACAAATGCGAATAGAAAATGGAAAATACATTTGCAAAACTACAAGAATTTATTGGGACGTGTTACCTATGAATTCAGTTGGCCAATGAAATGTGTCGTTACTAATGGGCTGAGGAATTAGTGCGTGAAGCGCTATCATGGCGGATAACATGTTCCGATGTAAACTTAATCGGTGTTGGGTTTGGTTGTAAAGAGATTGGTCTTCAGTGTTTGGCCGCTGACATGGAAGACGTTGAAGATGACGGGGATTTAGGCCTAGGTGATGACCTGATAGACCAATGTGATGAAATCAGGGCTATTGCTGCAAAGGTAGGCTTACATTTTGTTCTGTTTTCGATCAAAACATTGTATGTGTCTATGCCGATCAGTTCATGATCACTGAGGAAATGTCAAATATTTAAAAACTCGATACAGGTTTCTCAGCTGGTAATTGCACAGTTGAGATTATTTACTAATGTCTTTACGTGACAAAATAGTGATCTGAGAGATCCATCACTGTTTATCGGAGGTGGAACTATGATGGGGATTGTGTCAGTGTGATCAAACTATATATTACTAGTCGTGCCTTTTTGTATGTCATCAGATAACAGTATCCCGGTATTAGGGGTTTTCGACGGTGTAAGACAAAAACGTAATTTTTATCTGTAATATCATTTGAAGTTTTAATTTTACTAACCTTGGGTGATAAAGGATATATTCATCTATTTCACACAAAAATATCAAGTGTTTCCTACAAAAATAAGGTTGATGACATCGTATCGGCGAAACTATTGCCGTTCGCCACATCCAGGTATTTTGTATGGGTTTTCGACAATGAGCCATATTTTTCGCTCCGCATTACGAGGGAGTGTTGTGATAACGTGGCTTTCTATTTATACATTGCCTGTGACGAGCAGACGACTGATCTTACTGAATTTTCGCTTGCTATTTTTTGTTATAAAGGCAATTGATTTTGTATCTGAAGTGGTATTAACAATCTCGGCTAAATAATATTGATGTTGTTTGCTTTTTAAAACTTAACTTCCGGTTTTCAATTGTCAAGTAAAACTTCTGTTTTTGTAATAAAGTATAGACCTAAATTAAGAATCCTCGCGACAGGGCTAACTGGTGTGCTGTTCTATTGATGTGTCTGCCCCCTAAGGTTAAGATCTAACGTTACCAGAAAAACAAATGATAACAGTTTGATGACGGTTTACGCTCGATTAAATATCTTCTGAATTATTTTAATTACATCTGTCATTAACGTAAACCATATGGGGCAATATCAACGCCGCATTTCTTCTACCAACGTAAGTTTAGATCAGTACATCCAGATGAAGCGGAGTAGTCAAGCGACATTCCACGATTGCATTGTGGGAATGTAAACATTGCGAAACGTTACAGTGTCGCTGAAAACTTGTGAGTCGAATTGACACATTTTAACCGTCGTGAAACATAAACGTAATGTTTCCACCAGTGATGTTAGCTGCATGAAGCAACTGCAAACCAAGAAACGGGATGCAACGGAGTAGTTTACTGTAGGAGGCCGTACGAGGCGATGACAACTGACATGCATCGTGACATCACTTACATTGTGACGTAATGTAAAATAATTCGATTACGAGGGGGCACACTAGAATGGCGCAGTGAGGGGATAACGTCCTTCAATTGTTACGTCATCAAAAAACTATACCTTTATTGTCTCATAATGTATTTTTTTTTCGATTGTTCTAACAGCTAGGCATCTTAGAATTGTCAATAAAACTTCTCACGACGATGAAATTGCTTGTGCTCTCCAATCGCGCACGTACTCCCCCGATATAGCGCGAGCAATGCAATCGTCGAAATCACCAGAACGTCGAATTCAGCTCGCTTTGGGATACACTTCACAACAACACATTTGAGTTGTAATTAGTGGCTTAAACAATAAATAATCAAGTGCTCCACAAATCCTGTCAGCAAATGCAGCATTGTAATTGTCTGATAATATATCTTGGCATAATGTAAATTCGCGGACATCTATTCTCGCGCACCTATCATTTCCGGGTTTACGCGGTCGCTACATACAAAGTTGTGATGTCAGATTTCGTGTTTGTAAACAAGAAGTCGTCTTCGTTTTCCTGCTGTCACGATTCGGAAATCTTTTTTAACCGAAGTTTTCTAGCAAACATATTTTTATGCTTCTGCACTAATGCAAAAACATCGAGACGAAAATGAGCCCTAAAAAATAGTTTTCATTTATGACAGCACCGATCTACCGGTCGTCTGCATTGGTGAATGGTAACGCTGAAAGGTCATGACCCCAAAAGGTGGGGTGTTGCCCGGGAAAAATAATTATGGAAGCCCATTTTAGACACAATCCTTATTATAAGGGTAATGCTATTTTTGAGGGCATTATCATTTGCAGAAGCCCGAGGTCTTCCATTAACTGCCCGACGAAGGCCACTAATGTCAAACTATGACGTCACTTGACAACAGAACTGATAGTGGCCTGTCATTAAGGTTGGCGGTCCAATATCATTTGCAGCGGACCGCAAATTTCTGATAGCGAGAGGGCCGTTTCATGATAATTCCATGTATTTTAGCTATAAAACTTTACAACAGAATTTTCATGAAATGTTACTAAGTTAAAGGAATTATAATGACTTTATATGATCAAATCAAATAGTTTTTATTAATGAATTAAGAAAATATGCTTGTGTTTATTCAGTAAAAGTCACCTAAGTGATGTAGAATATTTTTTAAATTTTCATTCAAGATTACTCGAATTTTTACTTGTTTAAGTGCTCCTTTTTATAAAAATAGACAAAATTAGACAAATTCTGAACATTTCCTGACAAAAACCTTCTTATCAGCAATGTGAGGCATGAGCTTCAATATTACATTGGTATCAGCTTTTGGCGTAAACTATTCACCATACTGTTTGTCCGGATTTTAGCTATCACGAATATTGGTGACGTTGCGCGCAACTGACCTAGATACTGTGGTGTGGATGATGGCTTCGTCCCGCTACGATAGCGATGTGTCAAAGGCTGAAACTTATGTTTTTGTAAACATTTTATATTGATGAAGGTTTGTATAATTGTTGATTTTCATGTACCTTCTTAATTCCGCATACTGTGCCGAAACGTGTTAGGTGCGCGAATATTGAGTACGCGAGGTAATCTCTCAGCATCTGTCATTTCTGTTATGTATATAAGTTAGTTTGGCACTAAATCAGAACTACAACACAAAGATTATAAATGATGTCAGGCCAATGTCCCGCCAGTACTCATCTACCCATGAAGATACACAGGTTACAATTGGTCTTTAGCTAACCATACTTGTCGTAAGAGGTGACTAACAGGATTGGAGGGTCAGGCACACTTACTTGGTTGACACATGTCTCAGTTGCTAGATCAATGCTTATTCTGTTGATCACTGGATTGTCTTGTCCAAACTCGATTATTTTACAGACTGGCATCTTATAGCTGGAATATTGCAGAGTGCAGCGTCAAACAACAAACCAACCAACCAAACTAGTACTCGTCTATTTTACAAAGCAATATCGCACATATTGGTTTGAAAAACTATGTCTGGTACTCATCAGGACTGATAATGACCAGCACTGTACTCAAATTTTTTAAGACCGCCTCCGTGGTGTAGTGGTTAGAGCGTCCGCCCGGAGAGCGGAAGGTCGCTGGTTCTATCCCCGGTTACGTCATACCAAAACACGCTAAAATATGGTACTTGTTGGTCTCTGTCTGGCGCTCGGCATTAATGGGTACAACAAGGACTGGTCAGCTCGGAGTCAGTATAATGTGTCTGAGTGGGGTATTCATGCTTCACTGTGGCATGGTATCTCAGTGAGCTAGCACTATAAAACCAGTTTCAGTCTGGGCTAGTACAAGCAGCCGCACATACACATACACATGCATGCACGTCGTCATATGACTAAGAGCGAAATATTCTCAAGTACGGCGTAAAACCCAATTTCACCTCACCTCACCTCACCTCAAAATTTTTTAAAGTTATCTCGAGCACTTCAATTGTATTGGTGCATAAGATGTTATCAAGGTTGACTGTTTTCATTTGTTGCCAATTGCATTAATCATTGTTAAGTATTTGTCATGATGTAACCATGCTTGATAACGTCTCGGGTTGGCATTGTACCGTCAGTCACATTCTTTCATTTTATTATGGTTACAAAGTGATGTGGCTAAAGAATCTAAGCTTTATATATATACATACATGCCTTTGTGTAATCATGCTAATCAATTACTATTTTAAAAGTGTATTGAGCAAAATGGTTGTTGTGTTCCAAAGCTGTATTATTTTTGTTTGACCAATCTGTTTACTAGGTTTATTTCATGGTTAAAGGCAGTTGCAATGCACATCATTAAAACATCATGTTTTCTTTCCTCTCCAGCAAAAGTGGTCAGACAAATTATATTCTATATTGTACATTTATATTCTGCCATGCATGGGGACACAGGTGGCCCAGTCATCTGTAGTGCAACAATTCACTGTGCAGAGTTGTGGGCCTTGGACACACCAGAAACCTTGATTCCCTGTTTACCCCCATTGTGGTTTAAGGTTTGCCAGTACCATATCCATGGTGCTGCTTTTACCAAACTGTTAACTGTCTCAGACTTACATGACTTCTGTCACTGACTGCCACTCACATGGAAATGGCTCTGGAATACTGTTGAGCGCAGCATTAAACTCACGCTGTCACTCACTCTGTTACTCATGCTCACTCACTCACTATCATAGCTGCTTCATGAATTGCAAACTTTCATGGCATGGAGGGCTTTAGCATCTTTTTCATTGTTACCATGGTTACTGGGTGTTTGGGTTGTACTTGTAAATTCATGT